AAAAAAAAAAAAAAAAAAAAAAAAAAAAAAAAAACAGAAAATACCCAGGGAAATTGGCCAAAACACAATTAAAACAACAACAACAGCAAAAAAGAAAAAGTAGCGAGGTGGTCGGCAGGCTGGTGGCTGTCCGGGGTCAGTCCTGAGCAGCAGCGTTTTTAAACTTGCTCGGCCCTCCCCGGTGCTGGCATGCTGCACTTGTCAGTTCCTGGGCTCTGCAAACCAAGACTTGGAAACACATTTGCCTTCGAGAGTTCAATTTCAAAATGCATACCAAGTAGGCCAGGCTGGAAATAAGGCACTGCTCTTTCTCCAGACACGCTGGAGTCCACATCCTGCCTTTGCCCAGTGCCCTCTGAGGGAGAGGCCCTATGCCTGGCACCTGGTGCAGGCCACAGGTGGAGGGAGGCCCCGTTCCTGGCAAGCCGTGCCCATGGAGAGGCTGGCCTGGCAGGCCGTGGGGCCCCAATGGCCTGACCCCGTTCCGATCATGCTTCTGCTCTGCCCTGCCCTGCTTTGCCCATGGCCCGTGTGCAGAAGTGGGCAGGCCTAGGTTGCTGGGCCAGAACCCCGAGATTGCCCCTTGTCCCACTGGCCGAGTGTGGGGGGAGCTGCTTCTCCACATCCTCTGCATGGGTCTCGGCTCTGCAAGGCGGGTGGCCAAGGCTGGTCTCCAGGGCACTTGCTCCAGGAATGGCACGTCCCCTCAGTGCTCTGTGCTTCCTCCCAGGGATCGACTACAAGACCACCACCATCCTGCTGGACGGCCGGCGCGTGAAGCTGGAGCTCTGGTGAGTTGGGGCTGCAGCACTTCAGTTCCGGGGTGGGGACGCCAATGCCGAAGGAAGGTTGGAACCTTAGAGAAACAGGAAGGTATCCTGTTTACATTTCACTTGGAAGAGCCACTTACACAGCCCCTGTTTAAACATAGAATGGATTTTGCTCCAAGAGGCAAAAGGCAAAAGTTCGGGGCAGTGTTCCCAGAGATCCCAGCTTCCTTTCTGCCCCAGAGGACCTGATTCCATGGTGGCTGTGGGCCCCTTCCCTCCGCTTCTGCTGGCTTCACCTTAAAGTGCATTTCCTGGCTGGGCACGGTGGCTCACCCCTGTAATCCCAGCACTTTGGGAGACAGAGGAGGACGGATCACTTGAAGTCAGGAGTTCGAGACCAGCCTGGCCAACATGGTGAAACCCTGTCTATTCTAAAAATACAAAAGTTAGTCAGGTGTGGTGGGCACCTGTAATCCCAGCTACTTGGGAGGCTGAGACAGGAGACTTGCTTGAGCCCAGGAGATGGAGGTTGCAGTGAGCAGAGATTAAGTCACAGTTCTTCAGCCTGGATGACAGAGTGAGACTCTGTCTCAAAAAAAAAAAATGCATTTCCCAGAACTTGAGTGTTGAGATGTAAATTCCCACAGGGGTGGGGTTCCCCAGCCTGTCAGGACAGTTTCCTGGGGCTCCCGGGTTCATTTGGGGAGCTCGCTCACTCACCAGGTAGGCGGAGGCTCCTTCTGCTGCCTGCCTGGCTCAGCGGCATGGCGCCAGGCTGCTGTGACCTGTGCAGATGATGCCCCTTAGCACAGCCCCATTGAACCTGTCCCAGCTGCCCACTCCCCTCAGGACATCTGGGGGGCAGGAAGACGAGGCCAGGAGGTGAGCCTCTCACAGGGACCACAGTGCAGGCGTGGAGGCTGCACTGCCGTGGCCCCTGCCCATCCCCTCCCCATGTGTTTCAGGGACACGTCGGGCCAGGGCCGCTTCTGCACCATCTTCAGGTCCTACTCCAGGGGCGCTCAGGTAAGACCAGCACTGCTCTTTCTGTTGCTTTTCACAAGGATGTTTCTCCTGATTCTTTCTGGATGTGAGTTGCTGTCCTGTCAAACTCCCAAACACTTTCTAAGGATATTTTCACGTTTTTTGTTTGATTGTTTTGAGACAGAGCCTCACTCCGTCACCCAAGTTGGAATGCAGTGGCACACGTGATCTTGGCTCACTGCAGCCTCCCCTTCCCAGGTTCAAGTGACTCTCCTGCCTCAGCCTCCTGAGTAGCTGGGATTACAGGCATGGTTGGTGCACTCAGGGCCATGTGTGTGCAGGTGTGTGCACAGGTGTGGCAGGTGTGCTAGGCCACCCTGGTTTCTCTCTGTCTCCTCTGGGCTTCCAGCACGCTTTTGTGCTGACGGGATCTGCTGGTGAATATGAGGCCAGGAGGAGGGGAAAGGACGTGAAGCCCATTGGAACAGACCTGCCATGGCCACTGTTGTTGCTGCTTCAATGAGAGGGATTCGAGCAGGTCAGTCCCGTCTGTGATGCCCCGAGACTTCTGGAAGAGCCGAGGGAGATCCTCCAGGTCCAGGTCCAGAGCCTGGAGCCCCCCGTGTGGGCCCAGGGAGGCTGCCTGGGTCTGGAATCTGGATCTTTGGGGGAAGATTTAGGTGTGCGCTGTGCAGCTTCTGGCTCAGGTGGGTCTGCCCTGGGCAGGAAGGTGCCCTAGGTGGGAGGGGGACAGACGCTGGAGCTTCATTCCCCGGCAAGCTCATTTCCTTCTGTTTCTGCACTGAAGTGTAGTCGGTGTCGGCTCTGCTGTTTTCTACCTGCTGGGGGTGGGTGGGAAGGACCCCAGGGTGGGCAGGGTAGCACCCTGTCCCAGGAGTTCCCTCAGAGATGTTGGTGACTCCCTCATGGTAGCAGAAGGGCCTGCAGGCTCTGTGCCAGCCCCATGGAGAACTTGAGTGACATGGCTGTGATGCACGGAACTGGCGAGTGAAAGACGCAAAGGTGCATTCCTCGGGCCCTGCTTGCTATTAAAGGAGGAACTGTGGCCAGATGAGGTGGCTCACGCTTGTAATCCCAGTGCTTTGGGAGGCCGAGGTGGGACGATCACGAGGTCAGGCGTTGGAGACCAGCCAGGTCAATACACTGAAGCCCTGTCTCTACTAAAACTATAAAAAGTAGCTGGGTGTGGTGGTGGGCACCTGTAGTCCCAGCTACTTGGGAGGCTGAGGCAGGAGAATCGCTTGAATCTGGGAGAAGGAGGTTGCAGTGAGCCGAGATCGTGCCACTGCTCTCCAGCCTGGGTGACAGAACTAGACTCTGTCTCAAAAAAAAAAGAGAAACAGGACGGAGGAGCTGTGTGGGTGATTCATGTCTGCAAAAACGCCTTCGATTGCCTTCCTTTTGCTTTTAAATATTTCATAGTTTTTCTACAGTAAACACCTGCTATTTTGGTAATAAGTAAAGAAAATGGGGCATGTTTATCTTGGGTGACAATAAGCGTTGTTGGGGAGATACCGGGAAAGGCAGCGGGCAGCTGAACCTGATGGGGCTCCGCTGTGGGTGTCCCAGCTCCCACACAGGGAGGTCTGTGGGACATGAGGGCCAGCAGCTGTGATTTCTGTTTAGCTGCTTGAGAACTAAAAAAAAAAAAAAAGCAGTGCCAGGCATGGTGGCTCACTCCTGTAATCCTAGCACTTTGGGAGGCTGAGGAGGGCAGATCACGATGTCAGGAGTTCAAGACCAGACTGGCCAACTGGCCAATATGGCAAAACCCTGTCTCTACTAAATGTACAAAAATTAGCTGGGCATGGCAGTGTGCACCTGTAGTCCCAGCGACTCGGAAAGCTGAGGCAGAAGAATCATTTGAACCCGGGAGGCGAGGTTACAGTGAGCCAAGGTCACACCACTGCACTCCAGCCTGGGCGACAGAGTGAGACTCTATCTCAAAAAAAAAAAAAAAAGGCAGTTCACAGGCTCTGCATGAGCCAGGCTGAGGTTCTGGAAAGCAGGCTCTGTTATCATCTCCGTGTTCTTTCCAAAGCATCCGGCACAACCGGTTATGGCTTTGTTTTGCCTTGTTGATTCTGGAATTTCTTAGCTGTTATTTTCTGGATAAGAGGAGCAGGTTGCAGACCCAGGTGCACATGTTGGTCTTTGGTGGAGGATGCCAGGTGCTTCCTGGCAGCCTCGCCCTGGGAGAAGCACCTGAGCCCCATGGCGAGGCCTCTGGCTGCCATGACTGAGCATCGGGGCCACCCCGGGAGCCCACCCCTCTGCTGCGTCTCTCCTGCCTGGTGAGCGGTGATGAGGTGAGGGCGCATCCGGCCGAGGCGCAGAGCCGGGGTTTGCAGCACTGCTTCTCCCACAGCCCTTGACAAGACGCCAGCAAGGACTGTCTGTCCCAGCCAGGTCCGTCACTCTGCCGCCCTCTGTTGCCAGTGGAGAGGCCTGGCAGGTCCCACAGCCTGGGTCTTGCAGATGGCACCAATGAAGGCCACTGGCCACCACCCACTATTGTCACCTGTCACACAGCAGCAGTCCCGTGGCTCTTCCCACAAGGACCTTTACGTTCTGTCAAAGGCCAAGCTTCCTAGGCTTCCTGCCCGTGTCCAGGTTTTCTGTTGCTGAGATCTGAGGCGGTCCCTCTCAGAAGCAGTGCCAGCCACTGACAGGATGAGCAGGTCACCCAGGTGCGCGTCCCTGGGGCTTGCTTGGTGTGTGGAGGGTGGGGCAGGCTCCTTGTACCTGCAGTGTGGCTGATGGGGCGTGCCGTCCTGTTTAGCTGAGAATTTGGGGTTGTAGGGCTGAGGGCCCCACAGGGTCATGGGGTGTCCCTTATGCTGTGCTGAGGCACAGGATCTGAGAAATAAAGAGACAGGACACAGAAGTACAAGGAGAACACAGCTGGGCTCAGGGAGGCCACGCCACCTATAAGCAGAGTCAGGCAAAGCCCCGAATGTCCAGAAGTGTGTATATTTATTGTGTATAGGTTAGGGGGCAGGGCAGTGAGTGAAGTCATCTCTAAGGATAGTGATAGGGTCGTGAGCAATAAAACAAGGGGTCCACCCCCATTAGGTCACCTAGGCTAGGAGGACAGTGCGCAGCAAGAGGCCCATTCCCATGAAGGCAAGGGCCATGTGCAGTAAGGGGTCCACCCCCATTAGGTCACCGAGGCTTGAAGGTGGGCCATGCGCAGTGAAGAGGGTGCAGTGCGCAATACCTCTATCTATGGGCAAGCTACTTCTAAGGGTATCTATAGGAGGATGCTTAAGTCCACAGCAGTGACAGAGCTGCCAGGGTTACTGCCACCTGCTGGCAGCTTCCAATGGGTTCTATGGGGGAATGCTTTTTGAGCAGCACAGTAACAAGAGCTGATAAAGTTCACAGTCACCAAGGTGCGATTATCCAGAGGGGTTTTGAGCCCTCAGATGCTTGAGGGATTGGCGGTCTGAGGGCAGCCCTCCACAAGAACTGGAGCAAGGTCCTACAACTCCTTCATCAGGAGGAGTGGCTCTTGCCCTAAGCCTGCCATCCAGCGTGTATCTTTCCGATACTGAACGCTGTCGCCTGGGCCACGGATTCTTGTCCTGGTGTAACCGTTTTCCCTGAAATCATGCTCTGCACTGTGTCTGCTCCAGACATTCCTCCGACTATAAGCTGCTTATTCCTTAATTCATGCTCTGTACTGTGTCCACTCTAGGCATTCCTCCGACTATGAACTGAGATATAGTTATATATATGTATAGGGAATGACTGAGGAGTAAAATTTTCCTTAGGCACTCTATGAACTGACATGATTATATAGAGAGGATTATATAAAGGGAAATAACCGAGTAGTAACACTATAAATAGATGTTTTCCAAGCCCTAATTCTGTAAACTAATATATGAGTATATAAAGGATTATATAAAAGGAAATAACAGATACTCTTCAGGCCTTAATTGTGCCAGGATTCTGCTTAGCTCTCCTTCCATGGTACCTGGATGGGGGGTTACCCACAGGGGTCAGCGGGCTTAGCAGCAGGGTGTGGCCAAGTGCCGTGTCTCCTTCGGGACAGAAGCGTGAGTTTGTTTCCCTAAGAAGGGTTTATGTGGAGAGTGGTACCGGAGGCCTGTGTGCTGCTGGCTTGGTGGCGCACAGGCAGGCAGACGTGAGTGGGGACCGCTGGGCAGTACCTCCCATTTTCCATGTCTCTTGCTTCTGAGCAGAGCCTGGGTGTGGGGATGCAGGCAGGAGGGCTTCACTCTGGCAGGCTGTACCTTGGGAGCTTGACCCACATGGATGGAAGGTGCATCTGTTTGTCAAAATTCATGAAAATGTTCAAACCTTGGATCTTTACATTTTCTGCTTTGTAAGTTACAGCTCAGTAAAAAATGATAGCAAAAAGGGCACCCACTCTTTGGCCCAGCAGTTCTACTTCTGGGAATTTCTCTTGTAGGTCGAGTTGAACAAAAAAAGTGTAAATGCACTCAGATGTGTATTGCCAGTGTTACCTTGAGCCAGTGCAGTACCAGCTAATGAGCAGGCGAGGGGGCTGGGCCTGAGCCCAGGATGTGCGGGTGGGAACAGTGCCCGGGCCCCGACCCTGCCCGAGAGGTGGGAGTGGCACCGTGGACACGTCCGCAGACGCTGAGGAAACTGACTGTCCAGAGTGGCTCCTGGAGGGGCGTAGAGCAGGGAGAGCTTGTCCTGATTCATCCTCTAGAGCACTTGCTTACGAGTTTTTTTGTTTTTTTTTCCTGAGACGGAGTCTTGCTCTGTCTCCAGGCTGGAGCGTAATGGTGCAATCTCGGCTCACTATAACCTCCATCTCCCAGGTTCAAGTGATTGTCCTGTCTCAGCCTCCCATGTAGCTGGGATTACAGGCATGTGCCATCATACCCAGCTAATTTTTGTATTTTTATTAGAAACAAGGTTTCACCATGTTGGCCAGGACGGTCTCGATCTCTTGACCTTGTGATCTGCCCTCCTCAGCCTCCCAAAGTGCTGGGATAACAGGCATGAGCCACCGTGCCCAGCTGAACTTGCTAGCATTTAAAAAATCAGAGTATGTGTTACAGTTATCATTTTTAGAAAATAGAAGGCAGAGGAAGAGTTTATTTGCCCCTGTGCCCTGGGATACATAGTTGAGCATGCAGTTCATTAGGCGGGCCCTGATCGCCAAGAGTCTCCTTTTGGTTTCTCACTCTGTGGTGATTTGGGTCTCTGTGGCCTTACCATGACCCACGCTGGAGCAAGCCTTCGTGTCCTCCTGTGCCATCGCCCCTGCCCGTAACCCCCGCCCCTCAGATGTGGCCATCCCAGGAAGGAGGGGCCTGCTCAGGGCAGCAGCCGAGAGGTGTGGCCAGGGCCCCCCAGCCTCAAGCACACTTGGAGCCTGAGCCAGCCGTCAGCCGGGAGGCGGACCTTCTGTTCTCTTTCTAGAGTTTTCAGTGTCATGGGAACAGTGGTGTTTGCCACAGAAAACATAGGTCAGCATAAAAATCACTCCCTCTCCAGCCTTTTAGCATTTGTTTTATGTCCATATAAGCTTCTTCAGTGTAATTCATTGTGTGTTTATATTTTTATTTAAAAAAAAATCAGGCTGGGCTGGGCACTGGCTCACACCTCTCATCCCAGCACTGTAGGACATTGAGGCAGGAGGATCACTTGAGGCTGGGAGTTCAAGACCAGCCTGGGCAAGATAGCAAGACCCCATCTCTAAAAAATTTTTTTAAAACTTAGCCAGGTGTGGTGACTCACACCTATAGTCCCAGCCACTCGGGAGGCTGAGGCAGGAGGATTGCCTGGGCTGAGAATATCAAGGCTGCAGTGAGCCATGGTCACACCACTGCATTCCAGCCTGTTTGACGGAGTGAGACCCTGTCCCAAAAAAAGAAAGTGCAGTCTGCGGCGCCTGGGATCTCTGTCCTCACCTCACGTGGGCTGTGCCTCCCTCCTTGGCCAGCACGCACGCTTCTAGATGCACCGCTGCTGTTTCCCATCTGCACGGCACATTTCACCGCCGCTTACTCGGCTGTCCCCTGAGGCTGGACATTTAATGTGTGTCTGGTTTCTCGTTGTTATCAACGCCACTGTGACAGGCATCCTCAGTTATTTCCCAGTCGTGGGCTTGCCTCGCAGGAGGGTGGGCTGTGTTGTGCGCTTTGGTGACCCACTCCCCAGTCTCCCCCTGCCCTAGCAGCAAATCATCCCCCCCAGTCCCTGTGCCCCACGCTACAGGGTTGACCCCTGGGTGTGCATTCGTTTATTCTCAAACATGATTTATCGCCCACCAGACTGACTTGGCCATCTCTGTCCTCGAAGGGCCTCCCACAAGAAGAGGTGCCCTTCCTGAGCTGCTGCTCCATCCCAAGCAAGGCCTTCACCCTAGGAGCTTAGCAATTTCAGTCTTGTTCTAAACAGGACCTGGGGCTACGCTTGAGTCTTCCAGAAATTGAAAGATGATTCTAAGAGGCTCTAAAGACCCTGATTTTCAGGTGGAGAGCGCCCTCTTCCTTCAGCCTCAGCCACGCTTTCCTCCCTGCCCTGTGTGGGACAGGCTCTTCTGTGAAGGTTTTGTCAGCCTAGGAGTGGGGTGGATCCCAGCTCATTGGCTGGATCTGGTTGAAGAACTGTAGGGTGGGAGTGGACAGTGGGGAGAGGTGGGGTTAGGGCTCCGTTCTGCCCAGCGGGGCTCTGAGTGTGAGCAGTGTGCTCCCCTATGCTGCTGGAGAGCCACGACTGTCACTGCGGCGATATTTAGGGCAGGCAGAAACAGCCCAAAGCTGAGCTCCAAGTAATTGGTCTCTAAGGGACGTGGCAGGAAGTCCCCGTGGCAAATCCTGCTCTGCCTGTAGCTGGGGGAGCTTCACAGAAACTGTCCTGGGGTGACTGGCATTCTGGTTTCCAAGTTTTAGGTTGGAAAACTCAGAAATGCCCCACTCAGCTCTGTCCTGAGTACGCCCAGGGGGAGTTCACTGATGGACTGGCCGAGGGGATATTTAGCTTCCACAGCTGCAGCTCCAGGCCTCACGTCCCCCAGCCGCCAGGACCCCTCATCTGCCTGCCCAGGCTGTTGCCTCCAGGGGAGCGAGGGGAGGCAGCGTTGATGACACCATGGAAGGCGTGCCCCCTTCTGCTGCTGTCCTTGCCGGGTGAGGGCAGGGTGGGAGGCAGGGCTGCGTGGAGGGCACCACCTGTCTGCCCAACCACCAGGTCCTAAGCATCCTTGGCCCTGCCCGGGAGCCACGTCCCCTACACCTGAGCACCCCTGGGCCTGGGCTGGTCGTGCGTGTCGGTGGCCTCTGCACCCCTGCTGATCCCCCAGGTCTCTGTTGCAGGGGATCCTCCTGGTGTATGACATCACGAACCGCTGGTCCTTTGACGGCATCGACCGCTGGATCAAGGAGATCGACGAGGTAGGCCTGGGTTGGGGGAGCCCGCCTGGGGAAGGCAGGCTGCATGGAGGTGCCTGGGCCCCAGGGAGGCTCTGTATTCACGCCTGCTGCCCCTCCTGTGGCCCCAGCTCTGAGCCCTTCACTGCCCCACAGCCTGCGCCTGCGCATGCTGGTCACTGTGCACTTGACGGCCGGGTACTGGCCAGGGGCTCTGGGGCCACCCATAAGGGCCTGTACTGTGGGGCCTGAGCCCTGGGCTCTGCCCCCCTCGACCTCCCGCGGCCCCCACCCCATCTGTCCCAACAGTGAGGGCCCTGCCACGGCTGAGGGGTGGGTGGCGCCCTGCGTTCGTGCCTCTGCTGAGTTCTGTGCCCCCAGCATGCGCCCGGAGTGCCCCGGATCTTGGTTGGAAACCGGCTGCACCTGGCCTTCAAGCGCCAAGTCCCGACGGAGCAGGCCCGCGCCTACGCGGAGAAGAACTGCATGACCTTCTTCGAGGTCAGCCCTCTGTGCAACTTCAACGTCATTGAGTCCTTCACGGAGCTGTCCCGCATTGTGCTCATGCGGCACGGCATGGAGAAGATCTGGAGGCCCAACCGAGGTGGGTGGGCGGGGAGCCCCGGGCTGCGGAGGCTGGTGGTGGGGGGGGGGCAGTGAGGCCCCGTGAGTGAGGTTCAGGCGGGTCCCTTGGCCACACGCAGTAGGGAGTTGGCTGGCGGCAGGGCAGTGACTTGGTAAGAGCAGCCGTGGGGCAGAGGCAGCAGCGCCAGCGGGCACCTCTCTCAGGGTGCCGCAGTGGCCTCCGCGCTTTGCTGTGCCTGTGAGGTCCTGGCATTGCTGGTGCAGGCAGTGCGTTCACGCTCCTTCCCTGGTTCTGGGGCTGGTATCCTCCCTTCAGAGGAGTACAGGGGCCATTCCTGCAGCCTTGTGTTGTTTCGTCTGCTTTTCTGGCAGACCACGTCCTTGATCAGAGGCCCCAGAGAAACCTCCTCAGGGAGGTGGTACTGCTGTTCTCGTAGTGCTTCCCCGAAGGGTTCGCTGCTGGGCAGAGAGAGGGTGGCTGACAGTGTCAGTGTCCCTCTTAAGAGGAAGCTCAGGCCGGGCTCTGTGGCTCATGCCTGTCATCCCAGCACTTTGGGAGGCCATGCAGGTGGATCACCTGAGGTCAGGAGTTCAAGACCAGCGTGGCCAGCATGGCAAAACCCTATCTCTACTAAAAATACAAAAATTAACTGGGCGTGGCCGGGCATGGTGGCTCACGCCTGTAATCCAAGCACTTTGGAGGCCAAGGCGGGCGAATCACCTGAGGTCGGGGGTTCAAGACCAGCCTGACCAACATGGTGAAACCTTGTCTTAAAAAATAATTAATTAATTAATTAATTAACTGGGCGTGGTGGCGCGTGTCTGTAGTTCCAGCTACTTGGGAGGCTGAGGTAGGAGAATTGCTTGAACCCGGGAGGTGGAGGTTGTGGTGAGCCGAGATCATACCACTCCACTCCAGCCTGGACCAAAGAGTGAGACCCTGTCTCAAAAAACAAAAAGAGCAAACACGGGGAGCCGTGAAGAGCCGAGTTGTACCCTGGGCCATCATAACCCAGCCCCCATCCCTACGGAGCTCCTCTCCCCAGCTCTGCAGACTTGAGCTGGTCACAGTAAAGCCAGATTGATTCAGAACCCAACCAGAGGTACAGAAGAGCCTCCAGAGCAGGTCGGCTTGAAGGGTCAGCTCACACAGCCCTCACACTGGGAGCTGCGGGGTCCAGGCCAGGAGCTGGGCAGAGCAGCCTCTGGAACCCCACTGCAGCACCCCCAGCATGCCTGGCTTTAGCAAGCAAGGCAGGGGACAGGGTGCCAGTGGACACATCTGTGCTGGGCAGAGAGGTGTGTGCGTCTGGGTGCTCCAGGAGCCCAGTCCTGGGGACACCGCTAGGCATCCCTTGGGTGCCTTGCATCTCCCTGCTCGGGAACTCCCCACCACAGCCCCATGGTCTGACGCTCCCCCTGCCCTGCAGTGTTCAGCCTGCAGGACCTCTGCTGCCGGGCCATCGTCTCCTGCACCCCTGTGCACCTCATCGACAAGCTTCCACTGCCTGTCACCATCAAGAGCCACCTAAAGTCCTTCTCGATGGCCAACGGCATGAACGCGGTCATGATGCACGGCCGCTCCTACTCCCTGGCCAGTGGGGCTGGGGGCAGCGGCAGCAAGGGGAACAGCCTCAAGAGGTCCAAGTCCATCCGCCCGCCCCAGAGCCCCCCGCAGAACTGCTCACGGAGCAACTGCAAGATCTCCTAGCAGAGATGGGTGGGCCACCTGTGCAGATGCCGGGAGGGCTCAAGGTGGACACTCCCGCAGCGACGCCGGGCCAGTGCTGCCTGTGTGAAGACTGGCCACAGAGCTGCCTCAGAAGCACTAGGCTTTCCCCGCACCTGAGCCGGGTGTGGGGAGGAGCACGCACGGAGCACGTGTGGCAGGTGGGAGGAGGGGACGCGGCTGGGCTGCTGGTGCTTCTGGGAATCTTGGTCTGAAACAAGCTGGGCCTCTCCGACTGCCTGAGCTCGGCCGGTGGAGAGCCTGACTTGCCTTTCTTATTTATATACAGAACACTCCACCCTTTTTGTACATTTTCAAGGGGCCTTCAGGGAAGCCTGCGTGTGTCCCTGTGGTGCACTGGTGACTTCATGGCCACACCAGCCATGGGGACACACTTGGGACGCCTCAGGAGGGGATTTGTGACAGCGATGGGAAGGAGTCGCCCTGTGAATCCACGCACTGCGAATGGCAGGGCTGCTCAGAGGCTGGCAGAGCAGACGGGGTCGGTGCTCCCTCTGGAAGCTTGGGTGACCTCGGCCCTGGCTCCCATGGGCCACTCCGACCTCAGTGGTCACCGTGCTGGCAGTGGATGGAGGGTGTGGCCCTGTGGTCAGAGCCCAAGCAACACTCAGGAGAGGGGAGAAGTGAGGTGCGCCTGGGAGCACATACTGTTTTTGCTCCCCAAATCCCTTCTTCCTACATGGGGCTGAGAACCTTTGATGTGACACCTTTGGGGACGTTTACCACTCAAAACTCAGATCAGTATCTCTCCCACCCTGGAGAGTGCAGAGCTATCTGTGGACTTACAAATACTTGACCGGCTGCAGCCCACCTGCCTCTGGTGGCATCTGGACCCCTGCACCTGAGGGTAGTCTCCTGTTCTTGGCAGCTTCTGTCGCTGGCTCTGGTGTCCCCACAGCTGCTGCTCTCCTGTGAGGTCACCCGGTGTCGGGACCATCCTGACCTGCTTCTTAGGGACGCGCCTGGAACTGCCTTGGCCATGTCCGTGTGGGGGCCTCAGGCCAGGCCCCTCCTCAAAGCCCCCACCAGCCCGGCGCTGCTGCCGAGCCCCAGGCATGCAGGGCCGGCCACTGCTCTTCTGAAGCCATTGGCTGCTCCTCCGCCCAGTGCTTCTGCCACACCTGCCCCCAGTGGCCCCTCTGCAGGGTTGCAGTCGCCTGGGACTGCCCTCCCCACCCCTGCACACACCCGCAGCACCGGTGCTCACCTCTACCTCCTGCCCTCAGGCCGCACGGCATGGCATGGCTAACACGCAGAAGGAGCCCTCCGGGGGCCCAGGGCCCCCTCAGCTGGGACTCCACGGCGCATGCTTCCCAAGATGGCCCCACGGAGGGTGCACCGGGCACCAGTGGACTTGAAGCTGCATGGCCCATTCCTGGGAGATGCAGGCCAGGGCCTGTGTGAGCTGCCAGATGAGTAAGGGAAGCCTGGCCTCCTGATCCAGTGTCCCTGTCCTCCCCGTCCCCCCGTCCTGTTCTGCCAGCAGGACCTGTGTTTGGGATTATGAACAAGACCTAGACGGGCCGCCATTCACGGTATCAACACTACCCTCACTGCTGTTAGACACTCGCACCGTTCCTGTTCTTTCCGAACCGTTCGTTCTTTGTACAGTAAATGTCAGATTCAGCTGTGGTCCCCACACTGTGTTCTGTGTATGGGGGAGTGGGTCTTGGCAGTGGCGGTGCCCCATGCCAGGGGCCGGTGCTGCTTTGTACCTGGCAAACTGACCCCTGGCCTTTGCTTTGCCTCTGTTTCCCCCGCTGACTGACGGCCGACCTGCAGCTGTGAGTTGGGTTAACCTGGAAGTGAGGGCTGGAGCTGGGCTGGAGCGGCCGGGCCTGGTCACGGCCGTTCTGCACTTCCTGGTGGTCTGGGCCCCAGCGGGGTTGTGCTGAGCCCTCACTCACAGCCCCCAGCCGCAGCCTGGGGCAGACTGTCCCTAACAGCAGCAGGGACCCCAAAGGCCAGGCCCTGCAGTCATTTGGCCCCCTCAGCAAGAGAGCCGCCTGCACACTGGCCATGTTGGGCTGCCTGCCGTGCCCAGCCCAGGGGTGGGTGGACACCCCGGAGGTCACACCTGACCCGGAACGGGACACTCCAGTCGGGACAGGGACCACAGTCTCTGGCTCAGGCCCCTACCTGTGCTGTTCCGGGGGCACATCCGGGCCTTAAGCCCCTCCCGGGCAGCTCCAGCAGGGAGCGCTGTTTCGGATCTGGCCCAGCTGCCCCACCCTGCGCTGTCAGGGCCCACCCCAGATACCCTTGTAGAGCAGGGACTGTGGCGCCTGGAGGCTGTCTGGGACTCATTCTGACCAGACGAGGCTCCTATTACCCTGCCTCACGGGTCAGAGGTCAGACGCAGGGTCGTCGGGACATTTTCCATCCGGTCTCGGAGAAAACCACTCCCTGGGGCCCCAGACCTCTGCAGTCACAGAGGGTTTGGAAGGGCAGATTCCAGGCGGCCCTTTGTCCTGCTGCACCAGTCAGGCTGGCCCCCTGCCCTCCCGACGAGGAGGAGCCAGCCTTGGGGGGATGTGTGCCCGCTGGTGGGGGGTGGAGGTGGGAACGGCGGCAGGCTAGGCTTCAGTGCCTGCTCTTTTCAGCTGCAGACGCCCTTGGACTTGGCCTTCCTTCAGGTGGCGCCGTCCCACGCCGAGCTACGTCCAGGGCTGCAGTGCGTGGGCTGAAGCTCCAGCGTCAGCGTGCGGGGGTGCTCTTGTGTTTGTGGGTGGCCGCAGGCCTCTTCCTGCTGCACCTGCCCGGCCTTGTGGTTGGGCCTGAGCCCCAAGCCCTCAGCCTGGTTTCAGGGATGGGGTACCTGGGAACGCAGTCCTGTCGTGTCAGGCCCCACCCCACCAGGGGTGGCAGAGCAGAGGAGGCGGGGCTGCGCTGGGAGTCCTGCAGGCCCCTGGGCCCCTTAACATAGCCGTGGAGGAAGAAACCTCCCAGGAGCAGAGTGGCGCCCCCGGCCTGACCTAGACACACGTGACCATTGCCAGCCTGGACCTGCCTTGAGACACCCAGGCTGTGGTCAGCCATGCACTGCAGGGCGGAACTGCGCCTGCCACCCCCACAGCACAGGAGCCTGGGGTCCAGAGGGCACTGGGGACAAAAGCTGGGATTGCTGGCCCTGCCCCCACCCTCCGGAGGGTCGTCAAGGAGACTGATCCCAGTCCTGGGTGTGTAGGAAGGGGCTCAGATTACAGGTCCCCTCCCCTCCCCCTCTCGGGCCAGAGCCAGCCCTTCTCCGCCCCCGGTGACCCTCATGGCCAGTGGCTCTGTGCTCCTGGGCCTCTGGCCCCTCCCCAACCTCCTCCCCTCTACCCTGTGCTGACCGGGGCCTGGAAGCCCCCACACGGTTCAGACAGAGGGGCCAGGTTAAAACTGGAGAGGAGCCAGTACTGCACTGACGGCCTCTGAGAACCTGGGAGACCCAGCAGGGGCGTCAGGACAAGCGTCTGCTGCAGGCTTTGGCCTCGGGTGAAAGGGAGCCCGGGGGTCCTTGTGGGGGCGCCGACCACAGGCACGGAGGGTGGATGCCTGCAGGACGTTGGGCTCAGAGGAGCCCGAGGAGGGGCTGGTGGCCACACCCCCCTGCCCCCTGGCTCGGCGGCCCCCATGCCCACCCCACGGCCACTCCTGCCTCTCCTGCTCCTCTTCCAGCTGACCTTGGGGGCCGGCTTGCTGCCAGGGCCGGGGGGCCACCCGGGTGTGTGCCCCAACCAGCTCAGCCCCAACCTGTGGGTGGACGCCCAGAGCACCTGTGAGCGTGAGTGCAGCAGGGACCAGGTGAGCGCAGTTGGGCTGGGGTCCCGGGGCTTGGGGCAGCCAGCCTGGGAGAGACCCCACCAGACAGGCCCAGAGACATCCCCATTGCTGCCCTCATTTGTCTCAGCAATGAGGGCCCCTCCCCGCGCCAGCTCTCACACACCCCACATGCCTCCCCTTCACCCTGGGCACCACCCTCCTTTAGCGACCGGCCTCGTCATTGCCTCTCCTCCCATCTGGGACCAGTGCAGACACTGGTGGGGGTGCTGCAGCCCATCATCAGCCTTTGGTCTGGCCTGCACTGCCTGCTGGGTGGCCCTGAGCACTATGCGCCCTCCTTGGGCCTCAGTTTCCTCGTCTGTGCAATGTAAACAACGGAACTTGCTTGGGGGTGTGAGGATTCCGGAAGGTGAAGCAATGTGGCGCCTCTGGCGCCGTGGCTCCTCCCACGGGATGGAAAGGACAGAGTCCCCTGAGAGGCAGTCCTGGTGGCAGCCACAGAGCAGGGGCCTCCCCACACAGGGGCCAGGCCGGAGCCCCCGGGGCCAGAGGGCATCGGGGCTCCCACCTAAGCGTCCTCCATCCCCAGGACTGTGCGGCCGCCGAGAAGTGCTGCAGCAACGTGTGCGGCCTGCAGAGCTGCGTGGCAGCGCGCTTCCCGGACAGCCCAGCCGCGCCCACCACCACGGCGGCCTCCTGCGAGGGCTTCGTGTGCCCACAGCAGGGTTCCGACTGTGACATCTGGGACGGGCAGCCGGTGTGCCGCTGCCGCGACCGCTGTGAGAAGGAGCCCAGCTTCACCTGCGCCTCGGACGGCCTCACCTACTACAACCGCTGCTACATGGACGCCGAGGCCTGCCTGCGGGGCCTGCATCTGCACGTGGTGCCTTGTAAGCACGTGCTCAGCTGGCCGCCCAGCAGCCCGGGGCCGCCGGAGACCACCGCCCGCCCCACGCCGGGGGCCGCACCGGTGCCTCCCGCCCTGTACAGCAGCCCCTCCCCGCAGGCGGTGCAGGTGGGGGGCACGGCCAGCCTCCACTGCGACGTCAGCGGCCGCCCGCCACCTGCCGTGACCTGGGAGAAGCAGAGTCACCAGCGGGAGAACCTGATCATGCGTCCCGACCAGATGTACGGCAACGTGGTGGTCACCAGCATCGGGCAGCTGGTGCTCTACAACGCGCGGCCCGAAGATGCCGGCCTGTACACCTGCACCGCGCGCAACGCCGCAGGCCTGCTGCGGGCAGACTTCCCGCTTTCTGTGGTCCAGCGAGAGCCGGCCAGGGACAGGGCCCCCAGTGTCCCAGCCCCCACTGAGTGCCTGCCAGACATGCAGACCTGCACAGGCCCCGCCTCCCCCTCCCCTGCCTCCCCACACCTTGTTCTCTGGCACTTTGACCCGCAGCGGGGTGGCTGCATGACCTTCCCTGCCGGTGGCTGTGACGGGGCGGCCCGGGGCTTCGAGACCTATGAGGCATGCCAGCAGGCCTGTGCCCGCGGCCCTGGCGACGCCTGTGTGCTGCCTGCCGTGCAGGGCCCCTGCCAGGGCTGGGAACCGCGCTGGGCCTACAGCCCGCTGCTGCAGCAGTGCCACCCCTTCATGTACGGCGGGTGTGACGGCAACGGTAACAACTTCCACAGCCGTGAGAGCTGTGAGGACGCCTGCCCCGTGCCCCGCACGCCACCCTGCCGCGCCTGCCGCCTCCGGAGCAAGCTGGCACTGAGCCTGTGCCGCAGCGACTTCGCCATTGTGGGGCGGCTCACGGAGGTGCTGGAGGAGCCCGAGGTGGCTGGTGGCATCGCCCGCGTGGCGCTGGAGAATGTGCTCAAGGATGACAAGATGGGCCTCAAGTTCTTGGGCACCAAGTACCTGGAGGTGACACTGAGTGGCATGGACTGGGCCTGCCCCTGCCCCAACATGACAGCAGGCGATGAGCCGCTGGTCATCATGGGCGAGGTGCGCGATGGCGTGGCTGTGCTGGACGCCAGCAGCTACGTTCGCGCTGCCAGCGAGAAGCGCGTCAAGAAGATCTCGGAGCTTCTGGAGAAGCAGGCCTGTGAGCTGCTCAGCCGCTTCCAGGACTAGCCCCCACAATGGGCCTTCACCGCCTGATGTCCTGGTGAATAAACGCACTCCCCGTACCCCAGACCTCCTGGCTTGCTGCTGCTGGTCGGGCGGCCCTCACCCTTCCAGGTGCCCCACCCCCAGCCAGTTTCCAGCTGATGCCTTGGCACCCACTGGGGCTTTGGTACAAGGTCACCCGGGAGCACCAGCCCACTCCTGCATCCTTCAACCAGCTCCATCCTGCCTCAGCAGCCATCCCGTCCCCACGCCCACTGCCCGAGCTCCAGCAGCAAGGACCAGGATGTCCCAGGCCCTTGACCCCAGAGGAAACCCCGTCTCCCACCCACCCTCACGAGGTACTCCTAGGAGAAGGCGGGGTGGACACCGGCAACCCAGCAGCAGGATGTGCTTTATTCTGAGCAGGCTGGATCCTTCAGCTACCAGCTGAGAGCACAGACTGGGTGGGGCTGTTGCCCACAAGACCCGGCTTAGGGAGTTAGGGTTTGTGCCCCACAGAGCCTTTGGCAGCGGGGATACAGGTATGCGGGGTGAAGGGGGGGGCTTCGTTTTTCCGGAAGATCAGGCACTTGTTGTTGGCTGGCATGTCCACCTGGAGAAACACTTTGCTGGGGGACAGTCCTTAATCCCCAGAGAGGCTGCCTGGGCCCCCACTTCCCCACCTACCATCCTCTCCAGGAACAGGCCACTGGCCTGTCCCAGGTCCTCCAGGAGGGCTGTGTCCCGAAGCCCCCACTCCGGGTTCCTGCACAGCGGGGGAGACGCGGTCATTACCTGGGGGGTGCCACCCAGCCTGCCTGCCCCCTGAGCCAGACCCGGGGCCACTAGCTCTGACCTGCATCTCAGCATCAGGTCAAAGTCCACGTTGCTCTGGGGAGAGATCTTCCCATTGATGGCATAGGGCTGTAGGGAAGGGGACACAGCCTACTGGACCAAGGTCTGCTATTCCCAGTGAGCTCGGGACACACTTGCAGGCTGGGGTCTGGAGAAGGAAATGGGCACTCCCTCCCTGTCCCCAAGAGGGAGGCAGCCAAGGCCAGGCTGGTGGGCAAGGTGGTAGGGGGACTGGCAGCTGACCTGGGAGGGGTGCAGAGTGGAAGTGGAGGGGAGGCCATGCTGGTGGCTGGTGGGGGGCAGGGCGTCCAGGAGGGAGGAATCTGAGTAGGGCAGGAAAGCAGCTGTGACTGTGAGGGGGAGGCCCACCCTGGGCAGGCCCACTCACCCCATAGGTGATGAGCAGGCCCTTGGGTTTGAGCAGGTGTCCTGCTGCTCTGAAGAGCCCCTGGGGAGTAGGGGACAGGATGGCAGTGAGGCGCTGCCCCAAAACAAACCAGTCCCTGAGGCTGGAGACCCTCACCCGACTGTGATGGGGGTGAATCTGGCATCCCCGATGCAGGGTGAGGGGCACCTGGGCAGAGACCCTTGTGAGGGGCGCCCACAGACCTCCGTGCAGCGCAGGGGGCTAATGTGGGCCATGTTGATGCAGAGCAGCAGGTCCAGCGACTTCGGCAGGATCCCGCCCCAGTGCTCCCAGCTCCACGTCACGTCCAGGTGCAGCGGGGCCTTCACGTTGGTCAGACCCTGGGCTTGCGTGGTGGCCGCGATGCTGCGGGAGGGGAGCGCCTGGGTGGGGGCCGAGTCCTGCCCACCCGCCTTTCCGACACCGAACAGGCATTCTTAGGGGAGGCTGGGGGTCGCGTCGCGGAGCGGAGACCCAAAGCAGCCGGGAAGGGGGACCCCGAGGCCCACCCACTTCCGCAGCCGCGGGGGCTGCACAGCTGGGGTCTGCCCCGCCGGCACCCCCAGGCTCCCATCCCGCACCCTCGGAGCCCGGGGCCCGCCGCACCCATCGGAGTGGCCGCAGGGGAGGCTCTCGGGGCGCCCCGGGCGCTGCACCTGTCCAGGCAGCGCTGGTCCACGTCCGACGGCTGCCACTCCGCCAGGGGGAAGGCCCGAGCGAAGTGCGCCGCGTGCTGGCCGGAGCCCGAAGCCACCTCGAGCACGCGGACGCCGCGCTGGGCCGGGTCCAGGTACTGCCGCAGCACGTGCAGGATGGGCTCCTTGTTTCGCTCCGCGGCCGCCGCCACCAGCATCGCGGCCGCAGGTCCTCCCCGCCGCGACCCAGCGCGCGGCACGTCGGGAGCGGGGGCCGGGCCGCCGCGGGGCACGTCGGGAGCTGTAGTCCGGATGCCGCGGGGCGCGTCGAGAGCTGATAAACTACAACTCCCAGGAGCACGCGCGCCCCCCGGTAAGGGGTCTGTAGCCGCCAGAGGCACGGTGAGGAGCGGCTCAGCGGTGGGTGGCGGCGCTGGACGGCGAACGTGGCTTGCTGGCTTACAGGCGCCTTAGCCAAGGTGCCCACTAGCTCACGGCCATCCAAGGTTTTTAGGGAACCTGTCGCCCTCTAAAATGTGTGTCAGCTCTGCGCCGAACTGGGCGCCTTCACTTGGTTTCGGGTTTTCTCTCCTTTTAAGATCTCTGGCGTTGGCGAGAGTTTGTTTTTTAGATGGGGAGAGAAAAAAAAAAAAACAAAACCGCAAAATGAACCTGCGCCGCCCGGGAATCGAACCCGGGTCGCAAGAATGGGAATCTTGCATGATACCACTACACCAGCGGCGCCGTCGTGCACCCTCCCCGCGCGAGCAGCCAAGACTGTAATGAGGAAGCCCTCCGCGCATGCGCCGCCACCAGAGCCGGGGGCGGCGCAAAGGAGCCGGCCACCGCGTAGGACCTAGCCGGCGGGGCCGCGCGGTGGGAGTCCCGCGGTGCCCTCCAGTGCCCGAGGAGAAGCAGCGAACGTGAGGGAGGCGGGCTGCAGGACACCCTCGATTCGGGCCTGAGCCTAGGAAACCGTCGGCCTTCGTGAGTGGATGGGGGCGGGGCCCTGTCGGGGCGGGGCCGGGGCCAGGGTTAGGGCGGGGTTGCCGGGGGGCGGGGCCATATCGGGGCGCCTCCGAGAGAAGGCGGGGCTACGGGGTGGGGCGAGACCTGAGTGGGGACGGCCCACTTGGGGCGGGGCCAGGGCGGTGGGTGTGGCAGGGGGCGGGGCCAGCTGGCGGGAATTCGGCGGTCTGCGGGATGGGCACCAATGATGCCCCACGGTTCCTCCGTGACACTGGGATGACAGCACCAGCTCGGGGCCACGGATAGTGCGAGGGGTCGGTCGGTGACCCCGCCGTCAAGTCAGAGAACGCGATTTGTGTGCGCCCGAGGGTTGGGGTCCAAGGCTCACAGCTGGGCCCTGCTCCGGAAAGTGCCCAGCGCGTGGCTACGCAGTCAGGACTGGCTTAGCGCCTTTGCGGGACCGTTGTTCACCAGTGGGAACCCAGTGCTCGACATTGCTCTGGCTAGAGCGAAGCGGTTGGAGGAACAGACCAGGGAGGGCCAGTCATGTGGCTCAGGGCAGGAGGGTGGCTTACGGTCTGCCAGTCTGGGAGTGGGAACGTGGGGAGTCAGGGGTCAGGGGCAGCCCTGCCAGGGGATGTTGGTGGCCAGCGAGGTGGTGACTGGCCAGGCCCTGCAGCAGGCTCTGTGGCCTAAGTCCACCCTTTCCTCACCTGACTGGCCGTCTCTATTCCTCCTCCTGTGGCCTGAGCACTTTCCCTGCGTCTCCTTCAATGAGCACTTTGCCCCCTACACGCTACCTCGAGGGGAGCCCCAGGAGGAGGACCTGTGATGACCAGGGGTTCTCCTAGGGTCGAGGCACCTCTCCCCACCCAGGCTTCACCTGGGCCTCCCCAGGCACAGGAAAGAGGAGCCCGAGATTAGTCTCTCCAGAGCTGCCTTGAGGAGCTGCCCACAGTGCCCAGTTGCCTGACCTCAGGCCGGTGCTCACCTGCAGGCTCATGACTTGGAGCTGCATGCTGGCTAGGCCACACCTGCCCTCGGCACCCCCGGAGCTCAGCAGCCGGAATGGATGTGTCTGAGCAGAGGCCTTGGCTGCAGTGGGTGCATGTGAGCACTGTCTGGGAAGCTGTGGATGCATGTCAGTGGCTGGCAAGGGCCTGGGACCCCCACAAGATACCAAACATGGATCCCTGGAAGGGTCCCCCAGCTCCTGCCACTGCTGGTGTTGTCTCCCTCGGTAGCCGAGGTCGGAGCTGCGGAATCAGCTCCAGCCTGTGGGAAGAAAGTTGCCCAGGTGCCATGGCAAAAGACCGAAGGCACAATCTCTTCCAGCATGATAAATAACTGGTTATTTAGTTATAGCAATGACACCACCAGTTAGACTTAGATACAATCACGTAATCAATTATATACTCTTATTACATTCTTATTCTCTGTTATTAACCTTTGCATTAGTATTACAGTGTAGGAACACTTTTAGCCTTATAGTATGGAAATAATCAGGTGAAATATAAGTGGGAACTGAAGGGTCATTGTGAGAAGTGATCAGAAGGCAAGAGCCTTGAGGTAGCGCCAGCGCCTGGGAAGGCACCCGATACTTAGCAGGCAGGCGTTGTGTAACGCCAGCCAGCGTCTGGGGAGGTGCCCATTACTTACCAGGCTAAGAGGGGGAGTTTCCCTTTCACTGGGTAGTTCACAGAACACTCTGCTTCATCTGGCTCTCCAGGAAGGTCTGACACTAGCCAGGCCGGCCCGCAGACATCCAGGGGCTTAAACACCTCTCCGTGGTGCTGTGCTCGGACGGTCCCCATCCTTGTCCACCTTCAGGTTCCCCTTTCCCACCCAATGCTCCCTTGTAAATTCTTAGAAGCTGTGAAAAGCAGGAATATAGGAATCCTAAAAAGCCTTTGATCTCTCTGGTAAGTGCATAGAAAGATACTGACGTATGTGCCTCCCCTCCTTGCAGCGAGTGCTTGAGAGAGGGGCCCCTGTACTGTACCCACGGGCTCCCCATATTGTCAGTATGTGATTTGCTTGACCCTACCAGTCATGTCCGATGAGTCACTCTCCGGCCCTGCCCCCGGCCTTGTATACAGTAAATATCAGCGCGTCCAGGCGTTGGGGCCACTGCTGGACGCCTTGCCTTGGTAGCAGTGGTTCCCCCGCCCAGCTGAGTTCTTCTCTTATCTCTGTGTCTTGTGTCTTTCTTCCCTGCAATCTGTCATCTCTGCACACAAAAGAGCACCCACGAGACTCTGTGGGGCCAGACCGGACATCAGCCTCTCCTGAGACTGAATTTGGCTCCCCAGAGCCCCTCTCAAGTGGAAGGGACCGTGACACAGGCCCCCTTTTCTGGTGTGTATTAATCTACACAATAAAATACCAGTGCCCTGAGCGCCTTGCATTCTGGATTCCAGGCTGGGAGCGACACGGAGTCCCGGGCCTGCCCACACGCCAGTGCCTGCTGGCCCTGGCGCTCACACCCACACCCACGAAGGGTGGGACCCCTCGCTGTGCCTCCCCCTCCAGGAGCACGCCTGCCCCACCCATCTTGGGGTCTGGCCTACAGAAGGTGATCGGGGGTGCCTAAGGAGGGGCAAATCCCGTTGTGCCTTAGATCCTCAGTCTCCTCAGCCACAGAGGGCCTGGGGGGCCCAGCCCCTCCCCACCCGTCCTCACACTCGCACACAGCCATCCTGGGAATCCAGGCCCATGACATTCAGGTCCAACAGCAGGGTCCAGCTCCTCTCCTGGGGTCCATTCTGTGGACGCCACCCCCTGGGGTCCTGAGCTTCCTTCCTAAGTGCCCTGCAGTCCCCTTCCACCCACACACCCACTACGACTTCCCTTGTGTCTGAGTTTCTGTGGCTGCTGTAGGAAATGACCCCAGAGCTTGGTGGCTTAAAACAAATATATTTTCTCACAGTTCTGGAGACCAAAAACGCAAGACACAGGTGTCAGCTCCCTCCAAAGGTCCTGTAGGAAAGTCCTTCTGGCCTCTTCCAGCGTCTGGTGGCCCCAGGTGACCCTGGGCTCATGACCACACCACTCCAATCTTCCGTTCTTCACATGGCCTTCTCCTCTCTGTGTCAGCTGCCGGCCCCTACAACCAGCGTTCTGCCTTCCTCAGCTCCCCTGGCTCCCTGCTGCCCTGAGGACCCCTGGGGTCTCCCCTTGCCCGTTTTTTGCCCACTGCTCCTCCCAGGGAGCCCTTATGAGGGTTGCTGGACCCAACTTTTTTTTTTTTTTTTGAGATGGAGTCTCACTCTGTCACCAGGCTGGAGTGCAGTGGTTCAATCTCAGCTCAGTGCAAGCTCCGCCTCCCGGTCTCAAGTGATTCTCCTGCCTCGGCCTCCCGAGTAGCTGGGACACAGGTGCACACCACCAAGCCAAGCTAATTTTTGTATTTTTAGTAAAGATAAGGTTTCACCATGTTGGCCAGGATGGTCTTGATCTCTTCACCTTGTGATCCACCCACCTCGGCCTCCCAAAGTGCTGGGATTACAGGCGTGAGCCACCGCGCCCGGCATATTTTTGTATTTTTAGTAGAGACGGGGTTTCACCATGTTGACCAGGATGGTCTCGATCTCTTGACCTCGTGATCCACCCGCCTCGGCCTCCCAAAGTGCAGGGATTACAGGCTTGAGCCACTGCGCCCGGCCCATTTTTGTGTTTTTGTAGAGACGAGGTTTCACTGTGTTACCCAGTCTGGACCCAACCTCAGACGTGACCTATTGCTGGGGCTGGATGTTTGGGTCTCCTGGCTTGACCACCAGTGGCTGAAGCAAAGGCCAGAGCTGCTGGCTCCGGGCCAGCTTGGCCCTGCCACCCGCAGCAGGCCCCAAGGGTGGGGTCTGCCCTCAGGAGCCTGTGTGAGCTGGGGGTGTGCCTCCCCGTGTGGGGCTTTCCTCCCCAGGACTGCCCTCACTCTAACCCAGCTGCTTCTGGCTGCCAGGAGCATGTGCCCTCAGGCCGCAGCCCCCCAGCACCCTGTCCTGCCTCCCTGGCCTGTGTGAGTGATTTTGCTGAAGGCCACTGGGAGAGGCGGGCACGGGCCGCAGGCTGCACAGATGACGGGGGATCACACTGGCCTTCCTTGAAGGACACATAGCCGGGTGCTGGTGGGGGGAGGGTGGGGCAGGAGTGGGGGAAGTGGGGTGGGGGTGGGAGGCAGAAAAAAGGCAGTCCCTTAGGAGTCCTTCCTAGGGGACATCTCAGGCCTAGCCTCCTTGGATATGGCTCCTCTGCTCACAGGGCCAAAGGCCCAACCCAGCCCTGCAGAGAAGGCAGCTGGGGTGGTCCTTCAGCCCTTTAGC